GGGGGAGGCGCGGCGCCGGGACTGTCGGGTCTGAACTGGGTCCCGGCTGGTGCTGCGCGCTCCAGTCGCCCCCGTCGTCGCCCGCGCCGGCTCGGGTCTGGTGGCTTGGGGTGCGTTTCAGGAGTTCCGAGAAACGAGGTCTACAAGTTCTGTAGGTTCGAAAATTTAAAACTGCACGGGCGCAGCGGAGGGAAAGACAGGCGGGAGCCCCACGGCCGAGCCGAGCGCAGCCCCGCAGCCCGCGCCCCCGGCCCGGGCCGAGACGGACGGGAGCTCCGCGCCGCCCTCGTCGCCCCGCTCTCCTGCCCTCGCCATGGAAGGGGTCGAGGAGCCAGAAGCCGACTGCTCCGTGGCGTTCGCCGAGGCTCAGAGATGGGTGGAGGTGAGTGCCTTTTGCTGCTCCTCTCGGCGCGGGAGTTTGGGGTCTGGGGGCGGGCGTCGCGTGGGGACCGCGGCTGTGGGCACTCTGCGCTTTGGCCTCCCCCGCCGGCCTCCCGGGAACGAAGGGGCGGCGGTTTTGGGCACTTGGCGAGTTCGGCCTCTCCTACCGCTGAATGCCCAGCGAGGCTCAGCGTTGCCCTCACGTCCTCGGCGCCTGCCCGCCTGGCGGGCAGCGCGCCTCCCCAGGACCGGCCCTCCCGGCTCTGCTCGCCGAGCTGCCGGTCGGTGGGCGCAGCCAGCGCGCTCAGAGCTGGGCCGGGGTCTTCGGTACGTTTCTGGGGAGTGGCCGGAGCAGGGATGCCCGCCTCGCGCCTGGAGAGCGAGGGTAGTGAGTGCGATGTGGGCGGGACGGGAGGGCGGCGGAGGAGCGGCACACCTGGGCGCACCTGGAGGGAGCCTTCTCCCTGCGCGCCGGCCCACGGGGTGAGCTCGCGGCTTGTCCCTCAGGTTGGGCGTTGATGACACTGAGATAGCTGGGGTCACTCGTCGAAGAGCGGTTGTTTTCCCAGCTGTGCTTTCTAGACGGGATGTCTCCTTCTCCTCTATGCAGAGGAGGAGGTAGTCTCCGCATCAGCCCTGGGGAATAGGCTGCGTGGATCTGTAGAAGGTTAATTGGTGACTTCTAATCTTTATACTCCTGAGTAGAAATGATGAATTATTTGAGTACAAGGGATTGAATCTGGGGTGTTGGCATCTCTGAGCTGTTACACCCCCAGCCTCGAAATGACTTAAAGCGAGGCAGAAGAAGCCGGTGTAAATCAGGCACAACTGATGGTTAGAATATTGTTGATTCCCTCGGCCTTGCAGTACTTGTGGAGTTATTGATGCCACGTGTCAGTTTACTCAACGTACAGTTTTTAAAAATTTGAATTAGGCTTGAAGGTTATTCCATGAGAAAAACAACATGTTCAAGAATTCTGGAGCAAACAGCATTTAAAAATAATTAATTTTTCTTTAAACAAATATATATGTAGAGGAAGTAGAGAATGAACCTGGATTTCTGACACTGTGTACAGGAATGGGAGCTGTGGTTAGCATTGCCCACTAGACAGCAGGGAGGCTTAAGAAATTAACTTTTGGTGTCCTTTTGGACTGGGATATTGAGCTGGCCCAGAGGTGACTTAGAAAGGTGTGAGGGGAGGGCAGGGGCAGTTGGGAAAAGGATAAACGCTCTATTTTCAATTGAAATGAGAGTGGAAGAATTCTAGCTATGTAGTTAAGAGAAATAACTTTCCTCATTCATAAACTCTGAAGAGGCAAGGCTTCTAACTGTAACTTTCCATTAGTTGTGTGTGTTTTGCGTTATTTTAGAAGACAAATTTGCCGTTCTGTGTTGGAGCGTTGGAATGCAGGGAGTGGGCAAGAGGCAGGACGATGTTTTGGGGGTCGTGCACAGGTCCTGTATGGAGTTTGTGACTTCATGCTTTGCATTTGCTTAGGAATCAGTGAACTTGGATCATTTCACACTTCGACACTCTTGTTGTTGTTGTTGTTGTTTGGCTTGCAGAATTTAGAAAACTAAGAATTCCTTGTTTGTCCTAGCTTGCTCATTATTGTGTAGGGTTTCTGTGAGAAATTTTTATATAATGAACTCCTCAAAAACGCTTAATAAGAGATGGGCATTTGAAGTGACAGCAGTAGGTTCACTGTTAGGTTTATTTCATTTTTCTAGTCTTTGTCCACATCTCTCCCTCTTTTTTTAGCTTTGTCATTACAACCAAAGCACATATTTTAAAATATTGTTCTTGCCAAAAGAAGCAGAATGAATGACTCTCCTTGCCACAACCTATTAATTTTAAGAACTCACAATTTGAAGATAAAATGTTGATTCCAAAGTATTTTATAAAGTGTTTTTGAAAAGTAAGGACTGTATAATGTAAAACTTTCTCTTATCTGCTAATATTCTTGCTGTATTTTGCTTTTTCTGTTACTTCTCCCTACATAAATTGCAGCATAAATGGATCATTCATATATATATATATATATATGTACCTACAGAGATTATAATATATAATTTGTACCCATTATATATAATATTGTCTGGTACTTTTATTTTCAACTGCAGTTCTTAATATCCCAGATTAGAGAAACTACTGACCTTGTGAAACTTTGATTGATGATTAGCCTCCACTTCAGAATGACCTTGCCACTTCCAATTTCCATCGGTGATTTATATTTTTTAGTTTTATTGTTTTTAATGGTGCTCAGGATTGAACCTAGGGGTTTAGGTGAGGAGTGCAAAGAAAGTTCAGTATGACTGAACTGTACCTCTAACTTTCCATCTGTGATTTTAAATGGCTAATGCGTTGTGTTATTCTTGTAACCAAAGTTAAAATTTCTAAAATTAATTTTGTTTTGGAGAAGAAAGAGTGGAATGTGAGGTGTAGTGGTCTGACTTATTTTATTGATTTTTCTTTTTGTTCCCTTGAGATTGTGCTTATACCTCATATATATGTGTGTATATATGTATGGATACATATTTGTATATACTCTCTTGGGAGGGCAGTGCTGAGGATTCAACTCAAGGCCTCTTGCATGTTAGACGATTAGGCAAGCACTCTGCCATGGAACTTCTTGTGCACCATAGGATGTGTGCGTGTACACACACACACACACACACACACACACATAAATACAAACCTGGTTTGTCTGCTCAGGGGCTAGCCTCACAGTCAAAACAAACGTAGGAATGCTATCTTTTAAGATAATAGTGATATTGGATTATTATCAGGTTGGAAATGCTGTGTTTGGAATATGAATAATGTAGCAAGGCTGGTTTATGATTAAACATTACTTTAAAACCAAGTTATGTAATGGTTTGAAGGCAGAGACCAAGGTGAAGCTTGATTCTAGCAAGGTCATGGAATGGGTGACAAAGTAGTAGAAAACACAGCCTGGACTCTCTAATTTTAGGTGTCTTCTGTAGCACCTTTAATTTTCTATAACTAATAGTTGCCTCTGTCTCTGTTGGGACATCAAAAAACCATACAGTGAACAGATAAAATACAGATGAGATTAAAAACTGGGTAGACTGCTCATTGCATTGGTCCGTCAATGGTATATAGTCTGTGGGTTAATGGTGCTATCTAGATTGAGGTGTAAATACAGTCCTTCTTGTCACTGGCATAGAACAGGCTACCTTACTTCACCACCTTGCTACTTAACTGCCCTCCCTTTATCTCTGGGTTGGAGTCTTTCAGTGTCACTGTGATCCTGTAAAAGGATCTAAGGGGTGCCAGGTTGAGTTCATTGTCAAGTCTGGCACTACAGTGAGTTTTAACTCTGTTTACTTTTGATCGGTCTAGATGTCCACCTGGCCTGATTTTTATCATTCAGGGATATGCTGGTCACTACCTTTTGTTTATTTTGCTTGCTTTTGGTGCTAAAGAATGTAAAGATTTTTTTCCAGTACTGGGTACCCAGGGCCTTTATACCGAACTAAATCCCCAACCCTTTAAACATTTTTTAAAAAAGTTTAAAACAGTCTCACCAAGTCACTAAGATGTCCAGGCTGGGCTTTTAACTTGCAATCCTCCAACCTTCATGAATGTTTACTGTTGCTTTTCAAAAAACAGAATGATTAAAACATCATTTGAAAATGATACTAAATTCATAGAAGCATTTTTAGTAATTACATATAATTTCAGTTGTTAAACTGAATTAAATTTAGCTTAAAAGTTTCTTAATACATAGCAATTATAATCTAATCTAATATATGGAGAAGTTATAACGTATGTGTATAATAAATTGTTGAGTCTTAGCCAACCACAAGCAGTCATCTGTTTAAACTATGTTCAAATAAAACTTATGCCAGCTGTGACCAATTGGGTTGTTTCTGTCCCTCAGTTCTATTTTCTGTCTGTCACTTCCTTTTCTCTGGCTATGAATGTAATCTGCCCCTGAGGTAGATTGGTTTGTTGGAACATTCCGAACCATTTTTGGTTCAAACTACTGTGTAAGTAAAGCCAGCAAACATTTGCAAAAATAGATTTGTTTGAATTTTAACACAGTCAATAGGTATTAAACTTTTTTCAGTTTTTTTTTTTTTTTAGAATATGTACATAGTGCTACATTCCTTGTGGGGAGTTCGTACATGTGCATAGCACATCTTTTTTGTTTGTTTGTTTGTTTGTTTTGTTTTTTGAGACAAGATCTTGCCATGTAATTCAAGCTGGCCTGGAACTCACAATATAGCCCAGGCTGGCCTTGAACTCACAGAGATCTTTCTGCTTCAGCCTTCCAAGTGCTAGGATTACAGGCGTCCGCCATGCCACCTGGCCTACATAACGCATTTTAGTTCTTTTTATCCTCTTCTCCCTCCCTCCATCTCTTGGTTCCCTCCCCTTTTACAAAAGATCTAGCTCCCTGTTTCCTATTATATGTCTTTTATTTTACTCTTTACTTATATTTTGGGTTTCTCATGTAAGAGAAATCATGCAGTATTTAGGATCATGTGTCTGATTTATTTCACTTAACATTATAGTCTCAAGGTGCATCCATTTTCCTATAAATGACTCGAGTCTATCCTTCTTTATGACAGAGCAGTACTCCATTGTGTGTAAACACTACATTTTCTTCATTGTTGAACATATAGGCTGCTTACAAAATTCAGCTCTTATGAATTGTGCTGCTGTAAACATGGGTATGTATGTGTCACTGAAATACAATATTTTTAACTCTTTGGGGAAGATACCTAGAAGGAGTTCAATGGAGTTTCTATTTGTAGTTGTTTGAGGAGACTATACTGATTTCTGTAGTGGTTGTACTAGCTTACATTCCAACCAACAATGTAGAAGGGTCACCCACCCTGAAGCCTTGTCATCGTTTGCTATTGCTTGATTTCTTGATAATAGTCATTGTTTAAGGAGCTAAAA